GAAAGATTACATTTGAATTTATTTATCACGCCATTACCCCAATCTATTAGAAAATATGTAATTAAGCCTTAATTTACAGCTTTATATAAAAATATTATTGAAGTCATAATACGAGAACTATAGTCTATACCTACGATAAAATAATTATGAGTTGTCCCCTGGGAAATGGTCAAATAATTTATTTATTTATTTTTAATTCATAGGAAAAAGAAAAGGAAAGAATAGATTGGCACGAACTTCACATTTGGATGATTGGAGAGAGAGAGAGAGAGCACTAGCCCTATGCCCGCGTGGGTGGGTCCCTTGGAATTCTTCTAAAGAAAGGGACTAGATATATGTTCTTTTCCATGAGATTTTAATAATAAATTAATATAATATATTAATTAAAAATAATATTTCACATTTGTGAAATGTAGTTTTTTATTCTGTCTACAACCAACTTTCTGGATGCCCATTGATTTGATTTACACCCCGCACCCAGAGTATCGTGAAGGAGGTAAATCGCGAGATATGCCTCAATAAGCCAGGGTATGAGAGCTGCCATAACTGGTGACCACAAAGAATCAAATTTCATACCTTGTTAAAGATTAGGAATTGAACCCTCACATTGCGGATGCCAGTTCAGCTGAGACTACTTCACTTATATCATTTGCACCAATGATCTATGCCCCGATGGACGAATTTATTGATTAGATTGTAAGTAAACATAGGTGTGCAAACAATTGAAATAAGAATTATTCTACGTATACACAAAAATCTATACATGCAATATGATAGATACATGCCACGCATGATCATTATCTTCGCCATTCAACGACGAAATTAGGGGCAAACAACGCTACAAAAGAAAATAATAAACCATAGTTTTTTTGATACAAATTTCTCTACGATCATTTTTAAACCACACATTTTAACTTTTAACCTCAATCTAGTAAAGATACTGGAGTAGATTTGTTTCTTTTACCAAGAAATCGATCTTGTATGAACATCATTATCTTCTCCATTACAATACCTAGATTCAACTTTCCCAAGACTGTTGTGCAATAGAGCTTCCTCAAGTTCCATCATTCTCAATGGCTCTGTCTCCTTCGTTTTCCTCAAGTTCCATCATTCTCAATGACTCTGTCTCCTGCGTTTTCCTCAAGTTCCATCATTCTCAATGGCTTTGTCTCCTTCATTTGAGATAACATCACACTGAAAAGTTTTGTCCTACTTGAGCATCCGCAATTACTCTATGGTGCAAATGAAACACGACTTTTCTCATCTACTCACTCTCACTAATACTGATAGACTACTATTCCATTCCTCGCCTAGTTTAAAGAGGTTCCTCGTGAGCTACTTTCCAGCCAGTCCCTGACTGATTTAGGCATAGCAATTAATTGGGGGTTGGTCTTTTGCAAAGTTT